TATCTATATTTATATTTATATTTATAGACTGGGCAGGATGCGCTGGAAGCGTATGGGGAAGCTCTAGGGCTGGCGGACACTGAGCAGCTTTGCATTCCGCTGCTGGCCAACAGGGCGCTGGCGTCACTGCGATTGGACCGTTTTTCAGAAGCCTTGGCCGACTGTGACAGAGTCCTGCATTCGAAACCTGAGCACACCAAGGCTTTGTTCAGGCTCGCTGGATCAAAGGACCGTTTGATGACATCTCAGTCTAACGAGGATGTAAACATGCACACACCCACACAGAGACACACAGGAGCTCGCGTTTGCCTTCTTTGTTGAGGCGTGGGCTAGCTCTGCTTGGGCTCGGGCGGCACATCGAAGCCGCCAAATGCTTGGAGGAGGTGAAAATCTTGGAGCCTCAAAACGAGGAGGCCTGGACGATTTGTAAAGTGGGATCTTGCAGTGCACAGCACTCGAGGGTTCCCAACCGATACAGAGGTTGCTGCAGCCTTGCGCCGTGCTCAAGCTGCTGCCGCGCACAAGCGGGGGAAATTCGATTTCCGCCCGATGCTTGCGGAGGCAACAAGCCAAAAGATGGAATTGAATTAACCTCCGGGCTAAGTTGGGCTCCCTGCAATTTGAAATGCGCTGCAAGATTTGGAGCATTCCACTTTGATGTAGGCTCTCGAGGGCTCTGTATTCGCTGTCTTCCCCCGAAGCACCACTAGCTGCTAGCTTCCCAAGCTATTGCTTTCCATGAAGTATGTGTCGCATGTGAGGCCTGCCTTCAGGAAACTTTGCGCCTGGAACACAGCCGACCTCTGAACGAGTTTTGCAACGATGCGATGGACGCCTTGGGAGGGGTTGCAATGGGTGCACGGCGCAGGGTTCGGCCCTTCTAGTACCTGAAGTACATGGCGTGCCCGGAAAATTAACCCCACTAATTCCTCATCACGTCATCGCAGCTCCTGATCCAAGCTTCTAGAATGCCTCGGTTTGTTATTTTCTCCGCTCCTCACATGGTACGAGTTTTACGAAGATTAGTAAGCAGCACAGTTGTCAACCCTGCGCGCGCAGTCGTGCCCACCAGCACGGCAGCACAGCATCACAGAAGCAAGGCCATGATTTGCAACCACAGGCCCTTGAACAGCAAGGAGCATAAACCTGAAAAGCCCAGCTTCTTCTTAGCTATCGGAAGGATAAGGCCGCCATAACGAAGCTTGCGAGGAGCTCGTGGAGTTCGACCATGGCCTCGGCTGGCGGGCCAAGCGTGACATCTCCGAAGGCTTTGAGCTCCAATGCTTTTGCTAGGCTACTGATGGTTATAGGGTTTACGGTTGTGTGCCCTAAACCTTAAAACGTCGATAACTGGCGGATGCTCTCACCCGCTCGCTCTCGTCATAACGATGAGTGTCAAGAGCGAGACAGCGAGAGAGAGAGAGAGAGAGAGAGCGAGAGACAGAGAGGAGCAATCCTCTCGCCCGTAGCCCTGGCGAAAGACAAGATAGAGAGAGAGAGAGACATGGAAAGATAAATTTATGTGTAAAGCTTCCATGGGAGAGCTTGCTTGTAGGTCTTCAGCATAAATTCGACATGTGTTCCGAATGCGTTTGCATTTTCAGGATGTGCCCAGGGTGTGCGATGAGTTACATGTCCCAGGATGATTCAATCTCAAGCTTCTCGCAGGGACGACTTGACCTGTGTCCAGGGATGCAGAATTTTGAACGCAAGCCTAATCCGGGAGTAGCCACGTCCATGCATAACTAGTTGAAGTCATACGACAGCACTACTTATGTAAATCAGCAACAAACATTACCCCCAGCCGGCCCAATGGAAAAACAACTCCAATTAATTGCACAACATGTGCCAGAGCGTCTGCGAGTTGCAATCTCTGCAGGGGAGCTCTTGATCGTGGGGAAGCCACTTATCTTCGCCGCATATACAGCGACCTGGCAGCATGCGCGGTTTTTTTTCCGGCGGCCTGACCTGACGTAAGACCCAAACCCTGAACTTAATCATTTGCCCCGGATAAATACGCCCGCCGGTTGACTCCAGACCTACTAGTTTTAATATCCTAACTATACAAATCCTGATCCTGAATCGTCGTGTGTGAAGCTTTTCTCGAGAGCCTGCAAGGAACTTCGCCAAGGACACCATCAGGTCCTCGTCGAGAAGGCCAGCTCGGCAAGATGAGACACAAACTCAAAGTACCAGAGCTCGGACTCACGAGACGGGGTGGAGGGAGCACCCTTGACTTGCCGTGAAACGGACTCCAAGACACGGCCTCAAAGTTGGGCCGGGACCGTAGAATCCGTAGAACCCCAACCACCCCACCAGACCCAACCAAAGACAGGTTCCAACCACCCGACCAGACCCGATCAAAGACAGGTTCTCGCAGCCGGCGCTCCGCGCGATGCCTTGTGCAAGCTTTGCGGGCCGCGCGATGCACTGCCGCCGAACGCAGGCATCCTTAACGAGGTGCGGGGCATTGAGGTTTAGGGTTTAGGGTTTATAGGTCCGGTTTCAAAAAGGGCTTGTAGGTGTAGTATAGGGTTATATATACGATTCTGGTACTTATAATGGGGCTTTGAGGGCTGTTGGAACTACCCAACAACTGGTGGATCTGAGCATGTGAAGGAGACTGCCCGCGAGCTGCTGCGGAGGAACTGTGTGGTCTGCCACACCGGAATCGGAGTCTGGAATGAGACCTCGTTCCTCAATCATGCCGACAAACCGAACGCAACTCGATTGCCCTTCGGAACCCTTTGTTTCTTTAAGGCAAATTTGTTGCTGCTCCGAGGTCCAGGCATTCTTAGACACGGTAAGACGTTCTCGAGCGGAGCGATAACACGAGGCAAGATTCTGTTCTATAGCGGAGAGATTCATGCAAGGCAACCCGCTACTTCATCGCTGATTGGGTCCTTCTCCGTGCAAAGACAGACATCTCTGCAGACTCGGAGATCACCATCTCGTACATCGATGCCTGTGCCGACTATGCCCTCCAGGCCTCCTGGTTGGAGAGCCTGGGGGTTTTAGACTCGGCCTTGCAAGAGCGTGCCCGGCGCTGGCAAGAGAGCGACCCCGAGCTTCTAAGTCTCAAGCAGAGCCTCTCCAGCGGATGCTTCGAAAGCTCCGGAAAAGGAGGGCCTTTGCAGGAGAAGAAGCGCTTGCTGCAGCAGTTCCACGCCGAAGCCGGCTCCCTTTGGTGCTGGGGCCAGGTTGTGCAGTGGCTTCGGGGCATAAAGATTGCAGCTCAGAGCTCAGGAGCTTTGGGGAGGGGGCCGGCCAAAATGCCCCGTTTCCATTATCCCGAAAGATGGATCCACCAAAAGCCCCTCTGAAAGTCAAAAAAAGCTTGGATGATCGCTTTAAACCCAGGCTTGAATGCCAAACCTGGACAGGAGAGAAGGGCCTGGCCCTGGGTGCAGCTTTGGCCTGCGCTGAGCTTCTGTCGCGACACCTGGAAGCTAAGCAGAACTTGGAAGCGGCATCGCCATCATCATAGCTAACATAACTATTCATCCTCATCCTCATGACCATCATTTTGCTCTTTGACCCTTCGCGCGAGTATTTAGGGATCTCGTCCCAGGCACTAGACTGGAGCCATCTAGAGTTGTGAAGCAGCAGTTATGACAGCGACCAAGAGACCAAAGATCTCAGGTCCACGACATGCAGATCCTGGAGGCATGGGCAGACTGTGCGGCTATGCTGATGGACCTGCCTGAAAGCATCTCCTCTTCGCCCGACTTCGCGCAGGAGTTGGGCGTTGTGTTGTGTGATAATGGCGGAAATCACAGTGAGTCGTCCTCGAATCGCTGCCTGAAATGGAAGCAACCCTGAGGTGATGGGCCTGTGCATCGACGAAATGCAGGATAACATTGAGTTCTTCTTTGGACAGACCAGCGTTGAAGACGTCGACTTCTCGACCCTGGTTCTTGAGTGGGCTACGCTGCGCTGGTTTCACTCCGCCCAGGCGGCGGCTGCGTCCAATCCGCCCCAGGTCGCGGCGGAGAACCAGAGCCCTATGTTGGGCGAGTTAGACTAGGCCAGCTCAAAAAAAGCACATGTGACGCTACGTATCATACTCTTATACGGTATGAGCCCGTTGATCATTGATTGGGTCATCTTGCTTTTTATCCTACCAGTACAGTGGCTACAGCATCTAACATGCAGCTGAATAGCGATGGGGTGCTTCAGGGCAGCATGCAGCAAGGTATGATTGACAGTTTGACAATGTCACACTATTGAAGACAAGAACGGGGCCCAAAGAATAGCAGACATTGAGAGGACAAGACTTGAAAATCAGGCTTATGAACTCTGCACAGATATGTTCCAGCATTCACATCATGACCACTGCTAGTATCAGTCATGGTCTCCTGAGTCGCACCTATCAGCGTTGCCCTTCTGCATGCAGCCCATGGTCCACAGATCGGTGATGGGTTGTTTGTCGACTCAAGCTCTGACATTTCCGAGGAACGCGTGAAGAGCCTTTACGCGGAAGCCATACCTCCGGATCCTGTCTCACATGCGAGGCTGCCGGTTGAAAGGTCGTAGATTTGGAGATTGGTCAGACTCAGACGTTGGAAACATGTATCGTCAGGTGTAAATTCCGTTTTCCCTTGCGCTTCCTGCAGGTGGATCTTGAAACCTCCATTCGACACAAATTCTGGGTGTTTGATTAGGGCACCAGCTCAGGGGTGCATGCGCAGGCATTTCCTCATCTCTTTCCAGGGAGGTTGGCATGCCGTTAGTGCATGTGCATTTTTGGCGAGCTTCATTCCTCAATGAATGACTATAGTGCCAGACCACCAGCAAGACAGCAAAAGCAGCAGCAGCAGCGGCTACCAGGCGTTGTTGTCAAGTAACTATTGAGTATAGCTTGCTCTCTTATCATAATGATTTGTATCAATTTTATTTTATTGTCACTATCAAAATCAGCATGGAAGGTTGTTACTACGATGATTATTGTAGTTATGGTTGTGGTTGTTTTTTGCTGTTGTTGTTGTTGCTGCTTCTGCTGCTGGCGTTGCTGCGGCTCTTGCTGCCAGCGGAGGCCACAGCTCGAGGAGCTCCGCGAGACAGCCAACAGCAGGTCCATGATGTCCATCAAGCCAAGGCGCGCTCTTGGCGATGTGCACGACCGGTTGGGGATCGCAGGGCGTTTAGAGACTATAGTACTAGAATGATACTAGTAGGGCTTGGGGGCTGATTGGCTTCCTAGAACCCATGACCCACGGGTTACCCACGGGTGATGCCAAGCACGGGAGAGAAGTTCCAAGGAAAGCCCTCCCTTCGAACCTTCTGCCTAGGCCCACTGCATGAGAACGCTTTCCTCAGACTACATGCGGACGCTATCCTTAGGGTTTGCATGGAGGTGTGGTAGAATGAAGAGAGGAGATGCAAATCGTTCTGCTGGACTCAGCTTTAGTTGTTTCCAGTTCTCAACATTCAGTAATTAATTAATTCATTTCATTCCCAGTACTGAAGCCTTAGCCCACTTGTACTTATGCCCTGTGGCCCTGTTCGGCGGGCTTGGATGCCTGCACCGCAAGCCATGCAGGACTGTGACCCAGATCGAATCATACGTTGGAATTAGTCAGAGAATACTCATCAAATCCGGGTGGGGCTCCAGACGTCATAATTACACTGTCAGGGGTATGTTTATTGTAAAGCTAGACGTTTCCGCAGAGCCTCAAGAATCGGTTCCTTCTGTGGCCTTTCAGGGAGATGCCTCTACCCGGCGAGGCGGACGTCTGCTTGGGGCAGGTTTTGGGTACATCAGACCTCTTGACCAGATGTACATATGTGTAGATAAAAGATGTTTATGCATTTGGTTGTCTTTGTTCATTTTGTTTGTAATTTAATGTTCATGTTCATGCGTAGGTACACGGCCATTTTCATCTAGTCTGGTCAGTCTAATCTACCGCAATTAGTTCATGTTTTCAGTACATGAAATAATGTAGTACCGCACATATGTATATTGAACCCTAAACCCTAGACCCTTTTCCTAGCGATTGTAGCGTGACGGGATTGAGTGGAGCCTTGCCTGCCTTGTGCGAGAGTGAGAGTCGAAACCCATTTTACAGGCTGCCTCAGCTCGTTGAGCTAGCTTTTGTGGTGCTTGAATGCAGTCGGCGATTGAAGGTTAAGATTTCAGCAAAAAGGGGTTCAGGGTTTAGGGTTTAGGGGTTTGATGTCATGCAAAACAGAAGTTTATGGGGGCTTGGGGCCACGATGGGCTTACTAGAGGGGCATAACAAAATAATACAGGGAAAATAGATGTTTGATGCGGACCACGGCACGCATCTGTGTGGCCATATACTGTAACTATTCCGCACAATCCGCTAGCACAGAAGCTCGGACATCGCGCTTCGAAACTGGCAAAAGTATTGTACAACATGAACTGTTAATAGTAGTTTCTCTGTTCCAAACATCGCGTTTGCACTTACAGACAGGCGATTCCAGAAGTCTCCATTCCCAGCTTGGTGGGCCACTCAATTCCTGCTTCAGTCGCTTAGCATGTAGCACAGTCGCAGGATGTCGCAGGTCCCGGTGGTGAGATCAATGATGGAAGGGGCTGCTGCAGCAAGTTGTGTGTAATTAGTGTCTGCAAGCCCGAGCCGAAGATCCGGCGAACGGGCAGACTCTTGTTTTGCCGCTCTCGCCCGTGCCCAGGGTGGAATGGTTGTCGAGGACCATCAGCAAGACCTTCGAAGCAGTCGTTGCTGGCCATCTGCGTTGCCTCTGTTGTTTGGCCAACCCACAAGCACGTGCATTGCTGCAGGTTGAGGTTATCGCGATTCCATGCGGTTGAACACAAGCTACCGACTGAATGTCAACCGCCCGGAATCGAAGCCCCCTTTGTCGAGCGGCAGGATCTCGACATCCCGACAATTCCTGACTGCTCCACAGATTCACAGGAATTCGTTCCTTCCTCAATCGTTGCTGCATGTTGTCAGTTTCGCCTGGAGAAGCACTTGTTTGGAGCGTTTGCGCTGTCAGTTCCATTTGCTCCCAGTAGGCCCCATGCAGGCTTCGAATCATCACAGGGCATGTGGGATCCGTGTTGTACGATTGAGTGGTGGAGAGGAAATGAGATGCACCAAATGGGATTTCTTGATTCTGGAGTATTACAGTTTGGAAAGCTGTGTGGTTCTTTATGCTTGCCTGAGGTTCGCCCCAGAGTGCTTCGACCAGGAGACCTTTGCAGTTGCTGTGAATGTGTCGTAGAATGACTGAATGCATCTTACCCTCAGCAGATCTTGCCAGTGTATGTATATTTTCCGAACGTACTTGAGGTATGTCTGATATCTTGCACATGCCGGAGCAGTTTGCGCAGCACTGGAAAGCGCAGTATGGAGTGTGCCCACAAGCGGCATCCGGAAGAGACTGCCGGGATGTAGACATCCTCTTGCCACTATGACTCGGCAGCATGGGGATCCCGAAGATGAGACTGCCGACCAGGAATTCACCAACCAGTGCGGCAAGTTCCGACTTTACTATTCCATGTTTGGAAAGGAGGAGTGGTGGTGGATCATGGACGACTCCCTGGAAAGTATCGGCTCCCAGTTGAATAACCGAGGCTACTGCGTCCTAGACCGATTCCTTACCGACTCCCAAGCCCTGGAGCTCAAGAAGGAGGTGGCCGAGTGCCATGCGCAAGGGCGCCTGGAAGCCGGCGGCCTCGTGAATGGGAAGCTGCCTTCGGCCGACGACGCGAAGTATGCCGACCGAGCCACCCGAGGGGACGTCATCGGTTGGTTTGATAGCAGCCAGACGGAGTGGCCCCACGGGAGAGGGTTGGAAGGCTACTTGCTGAAGCTGGGCACCCTTGTCTCTGAGCTGCAGAAGACAGTGCCAGAGCTATCAAAGATTACCTCACGTTCGAAGGCCATGGTCGCATGTTATCCTGGACAAGGGGCACGATACATCAAGCACGTCGACAACGATGGCAAGCATGCCCTTTGCAAAACCCGGCTTCTCACGGCGCTGATCTACCTGAATGATGGGTGGGAGGATGGTGATGGAGGTGAGCTTGCGATCTTCAAAGCTGATGATGAGAACGCTCTTCGCAGAGTCGTTCCCCCGGTTGCGAACCGTGTCCTCCTTTTCTGGTCTGATTGGCGGACACCCCATGAGGTTCGGCCTTCGGAAAAGCTGCGATACTCTGTCACTCTTTGGCTGCTGGATAACACGAAGAAGAGCCCTGTGGCCGAAGAGGGCTACAGCCAGCCACAGCCTTCCGCCTTCCCAAATTCTCTAGATCTGCAGCACGAGTGGTGTGAGCAGCCGGGGCTTTGGGAGCTCAAAGTGCAGTTCCCTGGCACGGATTTGGTCGAATGCCCCGCGCTGGAGCTGTCCGATGCCCAGGTCCGGCTCGTGCGCGCGGGGGAGGCGGTTCTTTGTCTTCCCCTTCCGGCGGACACGGCTGCATCTCCGGCCTCTAAGTGGTCCAAGAAGAAGCGCACTCTGACAATTCAGTTCCAGCGCAACACTGCAGTGCCGACTTCACTTAGCTCGGAATCCTGTTCCGTTTTCGCAGATCATCTCGCATCCCACGGCTGGGGCATTATCGATGGCTTCTTGCCAGGTCCCGAGGCAGACGAGCTGAGGCGCTATGTGCTTGAGCAGAGGTCGTTGGGGAAGCTCCAGACAGGCAAAAACTCTCATGAGGGTCCCATCAAATCTCCAGAGGACCTGAAAAGTGGAGACAGCCAGCCCATGAAGAATGATGAGTACACTTTCTGTGATTCAGAAAGCATGCAAGCCCCATGCTTGCGGGATCTGACCCGTCGATGCAACCAGTTGCTGGGTAAGCTTATGGTTAGCTCTGGTCCAAACTTAGCAAAGCTCCGGGATATCAACCTCTTGCAGGGCCATCCCATGATGGCGGTTTACCCCGGGAATGGATCAGCATACGGCAGGCATCTGGATTCCACTGCTGGCGGCCGAGGTGCAAACGGCAGAGTGCTGACTCTCGTCCTGTACTTGAACCCTTCCTGGCGTGAGGCCCATGGAGGCTGTCTGCGGATTTTAAAGCAGCTGGCTGACGATGGCAAGTCCGGCACAAATGTGGAACCGCTGCATGGTCGACTCATTGCATTCTTCTGTCAAGACCAGAACCCCCACGAAGTCCTTCCAGCTTGGGCGGAACGTGTTGCGGTCACGATTTGGTACTATGACGGAGATCGCCTGAAAGAGCGCTGTCTGGGCGACGAAGCGGCCCTTACTGGAGTCTTTGAAGGCGGCTAGAGGCTAGTTCAGCGTATCGAGCGTGAATCGACACCGTGTTGGAATGAAGCGATGCGCAAGGGCTCGGATCGACTCAATGTATCTTCGAGCTCCACGCGAAAATGGAGTGCTGCTGCTGGCCATGTCCGTTTCTCATGTTCCATAGCCAGGCTTTATTCTGCTCACACGTGCAGATGTCAGCATATGTGTCAAGTCTGCTGTGAGGACGGGGCATGTCGGATTCCGACATGGGCCCCAGGCCCTCGCTGAGCGACGTTCGCCAGAAGTCTATGTCAGCCGCTTGCCGGAGAAGTGGTCGGACAGAAGGGCGGGAATGCGACTTCCTTAGACTTCTTTTTTGCTGTGCCCTCATCAAGGAGAGCACCTGCCTCGCAGCTGCCAAGATGACCATGCTCAAGCGGGGAGCTCGGCTCTGACCACCATGGGCCAGGCAGCATTTTGCAGAGGCATCACCTGCTTGCTTCTAAGGGAAAATCCTTGGTGTCCCTGCCCGAGAGCTGTCCATGTTGCAGTCCGACATATGAGTACGACCATGAAGGGGATCTCTTGCGAAAGTCGCTTGACATGGTTCGGGCAGCGAGCACCACTTGGGCAAGTTTTGAGGCAAAGACTCCGGCATCAAGTGGCGCTTCGGCCGCAGCCAGACGAACCGGTTCTTATCCGCCTTCCACAATGGCTGCACAGCTTCATCAAGGGCCTTACTAGGTATAGTTAACAACACCACCACCACCACCACCA